TGGGTACATGGCCTGGGTGTGAGAATCCTCATTGAGAGTGGGTACATGGCCTGGGTGTGAGAATCCTCGTTGAGAGTGGGTACATGGCCTGGGTGTGAGAATCCTCATTGAGAGTGGGTACATGGCCTGGGTGTGAGAATCCTCATTCAGAGTGGGTACATGGGCTGGGTGTGGGATATCCTCATACAGAGTGGGTACATGCACTGGGGATGAAATATCCTCACTCAGAGTGTGTACCTGGGCTGGGTGTGAGATATCCTCATGCAGAATGTATATAGACTAGATATAAGGTATCCACATCCAGAGTGTGTACATGTACAGAGCGTGTGATAGCCTCAGACAGTATGTATATGGACTGGGTGTGAGATATCCTTATCCAGATTGTGTACATGCACTGGGTGTGAGATATCTTCATACAGAGTGAAAACAGATTGGGTGTGAGTTATCCTCATACTGAGTGCATCCATACACTCTGCAGAGTATGTATATGGACCTGGTGAGAGATATATTCACACAGTGTATATGCACTGGGTGTGAAATATCTACATTTTTTGTGTATATGGACTGGATGTGAGATAACCTCATACTCTTTCTATGGATTGGGTATAAGATATCCTGATACAGGGTATTACATGCAATGGGTGTGAAATATTCACATACAATGTGTATATGGACTGGGTATGAGATTAGAATTAGATTTGATTGCCAAGTATACTCAAGTATAGGAATACATGAGTACAATGAAAAATGTACAACGTGGCCATTCTCCGGTGCCAAATTGGTTACAAAAGCAGAATTTTCAAACAACAAAAACATTTTAAAAAGATCCAGAAGGTAAGAAAACATCCAGAGATAGAAACAACTGCCAATGCTGGAGTCTAAGATAACACAGTGTGCAGCTGGAGGAAGACAGCAGGCCAGGCAGCATCAGAGGAGCAGGAAAGATGACGTTTTGGGTCAGGACCCTTCTTCAGAAATGGGGGGAGGGGAAGAGGGCTCTGAAATAAATAGAGAGGTGGTGTTGGTGATAGCAGGTAGGTAGTGTTGGGGTTTGCTCAGTGAGGTGGGAGGAGCAGAAAGGTGGGATAGAAGATGGACTGGTCAAGGAGGCGGGGATGAAGCTAGTAACAGTGAGTGTAGGTAGGTAGTGGTAGGGACCGATCAGTGAGGTGGGAGGAGCGGATAGGTGGGAGAGAAGACGGACAGGTCAATGAGGTGGGGCTGGCCTTGGGATGAGGTCGGGGGTGGAGAGATTTTGAAGCTAGTAAAGTCCACATTGAGACCATTGGGTTGTAGGGTTCCAAGGCGGAATATGAGGTGCTGTTCCTTCAGTTTCTGGGTGGCAACATTGTGACACTGGAGGAGGCCCAGGATGGACATGTCGTCCAGGGAGTGGGAGGGGGAGTTGAAGTGGTTCGCGACTGGGAGGTGTTGTCATTTGTCGCGAACCGAGCATAGGTGCTCTACAAAGCGGTCTCCGAGCCTCCATTTGGTCTCACCGATGTAGAGGAGGCCACATCGGAAACAGCAGATACAATAGACCACATTAACAGATGTGCAGGTGAACATCTGTTTGATGTGGAAGGTTTTCTTGGGGCCTGGGATGGAGGTGAGGGGGGGAGGTGTAGGGGCAGGTGTAGCACTTCCTGCGATTGCAGGGAAAGGTGCCAGGGGTGGTGGGGCTAGTGGGGAGTGTGGAGCAGACGAGGGAGTCACAGAGAGACCGGTCCCTCCAGAAGGCAGATAAGGGTGGGGAGGGAAATACATCCTTCGTAGTGAGGTCAGATTGCAGGTGGCGGAAGTGGCGGAGAATGATGCGTTGAATCCGGAGGTTAATGGGGTGATATGTAAGAAAACATCCAGATCTTAAAGTGTAAAGTCTTATCTCCATGAAGGTGTTTGGAACACTCAGCCACTGATGCAGGCACCTGGGCCTAGCCACGCCCTGGAGACTAGGTCAGCCAGAAAGTCTTGCATCGATCACCTGGAGGAGCAGTATTCTTCTTGCCACTGACGATGCTGTTGCGTCCTCCAATCACTGGGAAGAGCTTTGCCGCCGTTGCTGCCACCGGAAGGGCCAGGAGGCTGCCACCATTATGCGAAAGGCCCACTCTCGCTGCCCATGTTGTTTTGCCACTGCCTTCGATAGCCAAGAGGAGCCAAGAGGCCCCTGCCTCCCATCCTCCCGCCCATGTCCGATCACTAGATGCTACTGCCATTCTGCACACAGCCTGCTCTTGCTGCTGTGCTGATGCTGCTGAATGGCCACAAAAGCCTTTAAAGAAAAGAAAACAAAAAGTAAAGAAAAAGAGCAAAAGTAAAATGAAGAAAGATAGAAAGAAAGCAAGGTGGGAGTAGACAAGACTTCGGCTCAGCCCTGCTACTCTGCTGCCATCTTGAATGATATCCTGAAACAGCATTTATATGGACTGGGTGTGAGATATCCTAATACAATATATATGGCCTGGGTATGAGATCTCATACGGTGTGTATATGGACTGCATGTGGAATATCCTCATGCAGAGTGTCTACAGGAATGGGAGTGAGACACCCTTAATTGTGTGTATGGACTAGGTGTGTAAATGTCCTATATATTCATACAGAGTTACTGGGAGTGAGATATTCTTATATAGAGAGTTTTGGTCTGGGTTTGAAATATCCACATATCGAATGTGTACAGAATGAATATGGAATATCCTCACCTTCTGTATGTGGGACCGAGTATAATATGGATGGTTATATGTGTAAGGCATACTAAGCATCAGTTACAGACTACAGTGACGATATATAGAGTTGAGTGCAGACGTTATAAAGTGTGATGATTAATACTATGTATATAAGCTATGCAAATCTTAACTCATGAAAGGAATGAGTCAGACCCGCAGTGGTGATTACGCATATGGACGCTAATGGGATCAAAGGGGAAATGTAACTGTATAGTTGTATCTTAATTCCTACACTGTACCAGAATGGTGAACAGCCAAGAATCTACAATGTCGACAGGAAAAAGTGGCCAACTGCATTGGAACAATTGCCAGACACAGCAGAGCCAAGCAGTACTCATTAAGCAGGAATTTAGTGATAAGGGCTGCCTCAGGCTGCTTGACCTTTGTGCTTATCAAGACTTCTAAATTAAAGACAGGAGGCAGGACAGTGAAACAAATGTATCTTTTCTATACAACCCTTGGAAGGATGATCTTAGAGTCACAAGGGTCCTGGGGCAGGAATCAAACCTTTTAGAAATTTCAAAGAGAAAACACGTAAAAATAAGCATTTTGAATGACATTGGCCATGGAACCTAGGAACAACCATTGCAGAAGCAGGACCCTGAGCACACATTTCAGAGAAGAAGGACAGGCCCAGCTGCGTGACTGAAGCCTGGCCAGCTTTCCCTCATTAGTGCGGGTAATACCTCAGTCTCAGTAGTGAGTCTGAGACAAAGAACAAAGAACAAAGAAAAATACAGCACAGGAACAGGCCCTTCGGCCCTCCAAGCCTGCACCAGTCCAGATCCTCTATCTAAACCTGTCACCTATTTTCCAAGATTCTGTATCCCTCTGCTCCCTGCCCATTCATGTATCTGTCTAGATACATCTTAAATGACACTATCGTGCCCGCCTCTACCACCTCTGCTGGCAATGCGTTCCAGGCGCCCACCAGCCCCTGCGTAAAGAACTTTTCACGCATATCTCCCTTAAACTTTTCCCCTCTCACCTTGAATTCGTGACCCTAAGTAATTGAGTCCCCGATCTGGGAAAAAGCTTCTTGCTATCCACCCTGTCTATACCTCTCATGATTTTGTAGACCTCAATCAGGTGCCCCCTCAACCTCCGTCTTTCTAATGTAAATAATCCTAATCTACTCAACCTCTCTTCATAACTAGCGCCCTCCATACCAGGCAACATCCTTGTGAACCTCCTCCGCACCCTCTCCAAAGCATCCACATCCTTTTGGTAATGTGGCGACCAGAACTGTACGCAGTATTCCAAATGTGGTCGAACCAAAGTCCTATACAACTGTAACATGACCTGCCAACTCTTGTACTCAATACCCCGTCTGATGAATGAAAGCATGCCGTATGCCTTCTTGACCACTCTATCGACCTGCGTTGCCACCTTCAGGGTACAATGGACCTAAACACCCAGATCTCTCTGTGCATCAATTTTCTCCAGGGCTTTTCCATTTACCGTATAGTTCGCTCTTGAATTGGATCTTCCAAAATGCATCACCTCGTATTTGCCAGGATTGAACTCCATCTGCCATTTCTCCGCCCAACTCTCCAATCTATCTATATTCTGCTGCATTCTCCGACAGTTCCCTTCACTATCTGCTACTCCACTAATCTTAGTGTCATCTGCAAACTTGTTAATCAGACCATCTATACCTTCCTCCAGATCATTTATGTATATCACAAACAACAGTGGTCCCAACATGGATCCCTGTGGAACACCACTGGAAACAGTTCTCCATTTTGAGAAACTCCCTTCCACTACAACTCTCTGTCTCCTGTTGCCCAGCCAGTTCTCTGTCCATCTAGCTAGTACACCCTGGACCCCATGCGACTTCACTTTCTCCATCAGCCCACCATGGG